TACCTTTCGATTTCGATGTTTTGCGAATGCTGCCCACTTCCACTTTTGGTAAAGGCGAAATTTGCAAAACACGGACTTTAGGTTTATGTTCAAGAGCGTTTCGACAACCAACAGCTGTTGGTGTATTTAAACCGACACCGTCAGCATCACAGGGTTTTTGCAGAACTGGCTCGACCAATCTTGGTGAAGATGAACTGTCACCAACTTGTGCCTCTATCAACTCTATTGTTGTCGGAGAAACTAAAGAATCAACATCACCGCCACCGGGTTGCTGTAGAACTGGCTCGACCAATGTAAGTAGAGAGGCGATGTCACCAACTTGTCCTTCTGTCAGCTCCATTGTTATCGGAGAAATAACCTGAAGAATTAACTGATCAACATCATCGAGTTGCTCCATGCCTGACTCGTGTGATGTGGGTTGAGATGCCCCTTCACCAATATGCCGAATTAGTGGTTGTGACTGCAACACTGGTATCTGAAGAATCTCAATAGGCATGCCAGTTTTCTCTATAATGAGTTCAACATATTCGCCTGTTGGTGAAACTTCACCAGCAACCAACTCTGTATTGCTGCCAGTTGCTTCATGTTCCAATCTTGGAATATCTGTAGGCAATGAAGCAGCAAAGTCTGCATCTTGAAAGACATCACGATTGATTGGCCATATACCAGTTTTTCTAAACCCATTGACTGCAGTCAGAGCACTGGCTGCACGAAGATAAGCCTCTCGGAAGAGCGCAGGTAATTGCAGAGTAGTCACTATTCTACCTGGGTGAACAAGTAACCACTTCTCAACTTCTTGAGTGTAATACGTACTGAGTGGTTTCATCAAGCTTACGTCTAATGGTTGTAGCCGATGGCTGCAATGAGGTGGTAAACATAGGAGAGAAACACACTTTTCACGAGCAAGATTGATAACATCAAGATTTAAGGTGTGGGTTTTATGTCCATCAAGGATCAACAGTACTGGTGAATCGGCACACGAATGACTGTGATATACAAAATGTTTAAACCATTTCAGAAACAAATCAGTTTGCATCCAACCAGACGGATGGGCTACACCGATGGATCCTGGTGGTGCAGCATCAAGTAACTCAGGCTTCATTCGGCATCTCGGAAACACAAACATAGGAGGGATGAAATTACCTGATGCACTCATGCATATTTCCACTGTCACTAACTGACCACGTTCTGCCGAACTCAAGCTGCCAACTTGCTTCTTGCCCCGAGCTGCTATCACCTTGGAAGGTCTGTTCGGCACAGTTGTGAAACCAGTCTCGTCACAGTTGTATACCCTGTCTGGACTATAGTGGTGCTTTGTCTGTAACTCAGTGAGCAAATCAAAAAACTGGTCAACAACAACTTTGTTGAAGCCTTGTGCCCGTGCCGAAGAAGTTGGCTCTGGCATTCTTAAAGACAGGTCTGGATGTCGTGACATAAATCCTCTATACCAGTCCAGACCTGCTTCTTCTTTGACAGAACTGAATCTTTCATGGATATTGTTACTTTTCGCTAGTTGATATGCGAGTTTTCGTAAGCGCTTAGGTGTGAAACCAAAAAGCATACTTTCCATGGTTTTTATATGCTGAACAAGTTCCAGTTCAGTTTCCGTATCGAATACATTGCACCTTGAGCCGAGTCTTTTTGCAGCTGCTGCTCCACTTGCTAGACTTGACTTGTACCTCCGCTGAAGTGTTGAACGGGGTACGCTGAAAAGTTTACAGGCTTTCTTTAATCCCATTGTTTTTGTACGTAATGCTTCAATTGCTTTGACCATACCTGTCTCTGACCACGTTTGTCTTTCAGTTGTTCTTTTATACCGTCCCATTTTATTGAAGAAGCTGAAACAAAGCACAATACAATTACATAATGTGCTATTAATCTGTAATAATAGTAGATTATACATTAATTTGAAACATTCAAAGACATACACCCTTGATTAATAGTACCATTAATTTACTTTAAAACAACAAGAAAATCAAAAGAAATTATTTTAATAACACACCAAATTTATTTAAATAAGCACACTTTTAAACGACTTTTTTATGTTGATATATCCCATAATGCAGTTTAAACTTAGTTATATTTTACATAACAGATTCAGACAAATTTATAATTTGAAGACCTCTCATTAAACAATATTACATATGAAGTTCATAGTATGAACTAGATAGGTTTGTAGTTGTTCAAAACGGTAACTAAGGCGTTGCTAAGGAACTATTTGATAATATACCTAGGTAAAAAGTTAAATATCACAAAATATACAAAACAAAATGTAGAATTTTTTTCAAAAAACTAAAAAATAATAATATTTTCTATCAGAAAAGATGAAAATAATTTTTCTTAAAAAAAATAATTTATTCACATTTATTTTGTGATGAACCACCTTAAGAAGTCAATGCCTGCATCAGCTGTCTAAAACGGGCCCTTTGGTCTAAAATGGGCCCATAGCGGGCCCGTTTTAGACACTGATAAGGCCATTACAAAATCCTCATGTTGTAACGTTCCGATAAAAAACACATGAAATCGCTCATTTCCTGAGTAATCGTAACAAAAAAACAAAAGCAATAGTGCCCTACCTTGTAACTCGATATGACGATATGACTTGTAGGTCTGTGATTTCGTAACGTCAAATAAAACAAGAGAAATTGATATAATTGATTCGACACGTTTTTACAAGACCCTGTCAATTATTAACGCAATGTAAACAATCATGCATATTCATTAAACTAAGCTGGTTCTATTTGCATTCAGAGTCACCGAAAAAATCCGCTTGGTGTCGTGCCAATCGTGGGGCCCGTTTTAACCGAGGGGCCCGTTATAGACCAATCTCCCCTATATATATATATATATATATATATATATATATATATATATATATATATATATATATATATATATATATATATATATATATATATATATATATATATATATATATATATATATATATATATATATATATATATATATATATATATATATATATATATATATATATATATAACTGCACATATAGGTAAGCAAAACATTTTGATTACCTATATGTGCTAGATGTAGATATACATATATATAATAAAAATAATAATAATAATATTAATAACAATAATATATATGATAATAACATAGTATAATATATTATATTTTATTATAATTATTATAACAAAAATATTATTATATTATCATATATAAATTATTATATTTTATTATAATTATTATAACAAAAATATTATTATATTATCATATATAAATTATTATATTATAGATATATATTTTTAATATATGATAAACATCTTTTTTAGTTTAAACTTGTTAAAATGCATATATTTAAATTAATGCTTATTAATAAGTTGGAATTCAAAAACAAAAAATACCTTTACTTTTCAGTCAAATGGGACTCGACTCGTTTTTTTAAGCTTTTTTGATGTTGGCGTTGTTCAGTTTTCTGAATTGTACGGTTATTATAATTTTCGGGAGAATTTGTATTCATGTAAAAGGTGTTATCTGGTGTCTGAAAAATGTGTTTTCTGGTGTCTGAAAAATGATGTCTAATGTAAGTTAATTAAAAAAACAATATATATGACATCTCGGAAAAACTTAAACAAGTTTAGGCATTTTAAATGTGTCTAACAGATGTCCAAATTAATGCATCTACTATGTAACCGTTTTTATGACGTCTTTTAGATGTCTCAGATTTATCGTTAACATATCAAAAAATGGCTTAACAATTAGACCTCATCTGCGCTTAAAAAATACGTCTGAAAAAATACGTTTAATTGAGATAAGTTATTAAATTGTTTTTAAGACGTCTCAATTACACTTGAGATCGTTGAAAAACTTAAGTACATCTCAACTACGTTTAACGGATGTCTGAAAAAATGTGATCGTCATTAAGAAGTCTCATTTTTATCTGATATGTCTCAAATAAATATTAATTGTATAACTATACAAGTCATACAATTAATATTTATAATAATTTCAAAGAAAGAAAAGCGGTTTTACGTGTCTTTGAAACTTATTAAAAAAGACATCTTCAATGTAAACTCCTTTAAGATTTTTTTTAGATGTCTTATTTTATCTCATATGTCTTATGAATCAGACGTCTCAACTGCGCCTAACAGATCCCTGAAAAAGTATAAAACATGTGATCGTCTTTAAGACGTTTTTTAGATTTTTTATAGATTATTTTTTATCATCACATAATAGATTTTATTTTTCAGGCATATTATAGACGAAGTTTAGACGTCTCTTTTCTGCAAGTTTTTGAAACATATAAAATAAAAAAAAGACTATAATAAGATAATATAATATGGATCGTCTTTAAGAAGTTATTTGAATTTTTTTATTTTTATTTTTATATGTAACATGAATTTGCATAAAAATTAGACGTCTCAATTTTGTCTCACAAATGCCCGAAAAAAGATTTTTTGTATGTGAAGGTCTTTAAGACGTTTTTTAGATGACTCATTTTTATCTCATATGTATCAAAAATTTACCATAAAAATTAGACGTCTTAACTGCGTCTAACAGATATCCGAAAAAATAAATCTTTTTTGTGAACGTCTTTAAGACGTTTTTTAGAAGACTCATTTTTATCTTATATGTATCAAGAGTTTGCATAACAATTGGACGTCTCAATTTCGTCTCACAAATGCCTGAAAAAAGACATCTAATATGTGATAGTCTGTAAGATGTTTTTTAGATGTCTTATTTATGTTTCTTCGGTATCAAGAATTTGCATAAAAACTAGATGTCTCAACTGCGTCTAACAGATGCCTGAAAAAAGAATTCTTAATGTGATCATCTTTAAAACATAGTTTAGATGTCTTATTTTTATCGTAGACGTCTCAAGACGTCTGAGACACTAAAAAGTCATCTAAAAGTCGGCGCTGTGCCGGCTGGGAAAGTCTTTTTTTTCTTCCCACAAAACTTAAATTTAATATACACGTGTTTTTGGGATTAACCACGAGTGTAAACCCTAATTAGGATATTAATAAGGTTACTTAATAAAAAATTAAATTCCAGTATTGACATAAAATATTACAAAAAAATAAAAAGAGTAATATTTTTGATAATATCAATGTATAAATACAGTCTAGCAAAAACATTATTTTTTTGGCTCGTTTTAACGTGTCGCCAATGGCATCCTCGATGTTGCTTGCATCATAACCAATTTTGTCACCAACAATAGTATCTAAAGAAATAATATTTATCATAAAATTGACTGTCAATCATAGCGCATGTTTATGAAAACCAAAAATAAACAATTAAGTTCAAAAGCAAAGTAAAGAAACTTTGCTTTTGAATTTGATTTCCAAAAAGTCAACAAATTTTAAGACATCTACAATAAAAAAGTCAACATAATATAAGACATCTACAATAAAAAAGTCAACAAACTATAAGACATCTACAATTAAAAAGTCAACAAACTATAAGACATCTACAATAAAATTTATATTAAAGTAATATTTATTAGTTTTGGAAAGCCATAGATAAAAAAACTAAATTAATATAAAAAACGACCGTAAATATATTTGCAATTAATGAATAGGAGAAAATGAACAATTTAATACTGTTTCACGTTCTGCTATTTACTGTTAACAAAAATATTTTTGTCTTATATAAGATGCAATAGCTACAAACTTGCATTTAACGCTTGCCTTTTTTATTTTAACGCTTACATTTATAATAAGAAGCTAAATAATGCCTGTATTCCGTGATAACATTTAAAACATTTTTAACTGCTTTCCGTGGAGTCCCTCCTTCCAACCTCGCATTTGAGTTCCCTTAAATATTATTAAAATAAGTTAGAAGCATGAGTAAATATTGAACCAAATCTGAATACCATATAGAATAACAACATACTGTGAGCAAATTATTATATATATTATATATATAAATCAAGACAAGAAATATTCATGTGGGCCATATATGGCAATTGCATGTTAACCATATACTTATCACTCTTCTTTATGGAATGGCTTTGGTGCGTACCGTATGTGGCTACAATGTTCCTATAAAAATCCCACTAAAACCACACTATATAGGAATGAAAGCCACAGTTTATTTTTGCGTGAAAGTTTCATGTGGCCCGCGTGTAGTAAACATAATAGCCATACATTTCCCACTCCCCTTTATAGGATGGCATTGATGCGCTCCATATGTGGCTTAAATGTTTATCCTATTAATACCATACACCCCCAGCCAGAATTCATGATAACTGTATATAGCAGACCCAGAGAAATGGCTGGGTGCATATGAAAACCCTTGATGTCAGCATTTCAAAAATATAAAATTTGAAATCCAACTATTTTGTCTCGGAAAATAAAATGACTTTTTATTAATATTATATTACAGCAACTAGACAAATGACAGCATAACTATTTTTTGCATTTTTACAGTATACAAAAAAATTTTAGTGAGTGATAATTTTATTATTGCATCACTAAAACATTGTTTTTTTTTTGTTTTTATGACTTTGCAAAAAGAGCATACCTGTATTTCTTACATGAAATGATTTTTTTTATTATTGGTGTTAAAATTACGGGAAAGGGCTATTCTCAATACATCAAAACAAAAAGCCACTCATTTTTACGATTTTTGAACCATTTGGTCTTTCAAAATGCCCAATCAAACTAAAACTCACAAAGATTGCCGGAAATCTGTGTGTTTCTTGTGCTTGAAAAAAAGCATAAGGACAATTTCACTATCAGTGGCACAGGAAATTTCAAGCTTATTTGAACATAAGATTAACTTTGAAGATGAACGAACGCCAAATGGGATTTGTGAAGGATGTTGTTCAATACTGCGCAGAAAACTTGATGGAAAAGAGGTTGTCATGCTAAGACTCTATGACTTTGAAACCATCAGTGTCAGACGACCTGCAAGCGGACTGATCTGTAATTGCATTATATGTCAAGTTGGGCATCTGAAGCTAATTGAATCCCATCCTCTTGAAAAAGTCAAAAAAATGACAACATGTAAAGAGAAAGCTGTGAATAAAAATTCAACTTCTGACCACAGATGTTCCAAATGCCTCTCGGTTCTGGAAAAAAGAATTTCTCGTGTATGCACTAAAGCTAAATTTCGTGAAAATATGAGACTTTTGGCATCAAAAGACAGCAGAGTTGCTCAACAAATTGCAGCTTCTGTAATAGCTGGCACAGATGCTTCCCCTCAAGGAACAATTCGTCTGGCTCAAGCAAAAGGTGGACGACCTTTATTTGTCACCCCAGGTAAAAATGACTTTATTGAAGCATAATTAAATGTATTCAATTCTATTAGTTCCCAATGCCAAAAATGTGGTCAATTCTTGAGAAAAGTTAATTACTTTAATAGTGACAACTTGTAAATTTTTAATTAAAATTGCCAAAGTAATTACTTAAAGATCCTTCAAGTGCAAGAAGACTCTTTGAATCAACATCCTTAGTTACAGCAGGGGATCTCGTTTACGTGCAAATCAATACTGGATTGTATTGATTTGCACGTAAAGCAGCCGTGGCGCAAAGGTTAGAGTTCTGGCTCAGAACCCAGAGGTCCGAGGTTCGACGCCAGCTCCAGCCCAACAAGCGACATTGGTACGGAAGGAGGCGTGAACTTCCCGTTAAATGCTTTCCCGCGGTGCTCTATGATAAGACCGTAAGGACTTCTGGGAGCACCTAAATACATAAAAAAAAAAAAAAAAAAAAGATTGTCAAACACAAACGTAAAAAAGTTAGCGATAACTTTGAACCAAGTTTCAGCAGTCCGAATTACTGAGCCAAACATTCGCTCCGAATTTTTTGCATTAGGAAATTGGCTTGCTGGATTTTTCGATCAAACAGATATTCTAACTGAACAAGGCAATGAAGTTATTGGCAAGAAACTTGTAGTTCACTGTAAAGATCTACAAGAACTGATAATCAAACTTGGCATTGATGGTGGTGGTGGGTTTCTGAAAGTCACACTGGGAGCTATTGAGAAGATGCCTTGTGAAGATGATCCTCCTCCATGTAAGAAAAACTTGACTACAAACTCTTCCAAAGATAGCGGCTGCAATCATCAGCTTATCATTGCAATTGCTGAAGATTTATCTGAAACCTATTTGAATGTCCAAAATGTTTTGTTTTTCATCAAGCCTAACCTTAAGGATTTTGTTGTTTCTTGTGATCTGAAGCTGGCCAACATCCTTTGTGGACTTCAGTTTCACTCATCATCACATCCTTGCACGTGGTGTGATGTCCCATCAAATAACCTTGCACAATCTGGAAATATTCACACCTTTGGATCTTTCAAATCATCCTGTCAAGCTTTTGATGCTGCAGGACGTGACATGTAAAAGGCAAAAGAATTCGAAAATATGGTTCATCCTCCATTACTTGCTTTGGATGATGAGCAATTGGTTTTGGATCTAATTCCACCTATGGAATCGCATCTGCTGCTTGGAGTTGTCAATCACTTCTTCAAGATCTTAAAGTCAATGTGGCTGCATGCTAAAAAGTGGCTAGATGCTCTTCACATAAATTAACAACCTATCCACGGAGGAAAATTTGCTGGAAATGATTGTCACAAGCTTCTGAACCTGAATTTGTTGCAAAATCTTGTAGAGAAAACATCCTCAATTTATATTTGTCCCATTATCAACACTTTCATGAAATTTGAAGCTGTGGTCAGTGCTTGATTTAGGTCCACATTATCTTCTGATTTTTCTAGAAAAATTGACTTATTCAGAGAAGCATATATGGCAATGCCATCTGGAAGCGTGACTCCAAAACTGCATGCAGTATTTTTTCATGTGAAGGAGTTCATCCAAAAGAAAAATACTGCTTTGGGAATCTTCAGTGAACAAACGACAGAAGCTATGCACCATCACTTTCATCAACACTGGCAAAGATACAAGAGACCATCAACCCATTCAGAATATGGAAGGCAACTTAAACATACATAGTTGACTTTAACAGCAAGCATCTTTAAAGGCAGTTTTGAAACAGGAGCAGAAGACTTAATTCAAGAATTAAAAAAGTTTTGCATTATTTTTTGTTACAGTCTATTTGTTAGAATGTATTATTGTTTATTTTTATCAAACCAGTGCTGTAAAATGAATGAATACATATATATCATTGAATGATATCATCGAAAAAATAAAATTATCACTAACTCAAACTTTTTGATGCTGTAAAAATGCAAAAAATGGATATGTTGTCATTTGTCTAGATGCTGTAATATAATAAAAATAAAAACTCAATTTATTTTCCGAGACAAAAAAGGATTTCAAATTTTATATTTTTGAAATCCTGACATCAAGGGCGTTCATATGCACCCAGCCATTTCTCTGGGTCAGCTATATACAGTTATCATGAATTCTGGCTGGGAGTACACAATAAATAAGAACAATAGCCGCATTATTTTTCTACAAGAAAGTTTATGTACTACTACATAAACAAATCTTCTGACTTGTTTAAATATTATATTTACACAAGTCAGGAGTCAGTATTTATGTATAGAATATACAAATAGTTAATTATACATACCGATACAAATAAATATCATACTTTATGTTTACTTATTTGTATAGGAATACCAAATAAAAAACTTAAATAAGAAAAAATCATACATTTTGTTTTTATTTATAATTTTAATCACAGATAAATATATATGTACAATAACTTTTTATTTAATTTCAAAAATTTATTCTGTATTAGTTCAGTACACAAAACTAATCTGATAAATCATGCAATGAAGACGCAATATTTTCTTCAAATTCTTTATCTAGTAATCTTACAGTGTCTTTGAATTGTAGCTAAAGATAGTTTTATAAAAAATCCATGTACAACCAAATTCTAGAGTAAAGAATCAACAATAACGATTGATTGCTTACATTGCCTGCCATTTTAAAACTTTACATTGCTATGTGGTAGCAAACACAACAATTTAAGATATTTTTTATCCTCATTGAGTATAACTGATTACAACCTTTTTAGTTAATTATAACTCTGTGTAGAATATAACTTAAGTATAACAACAAATACTTATTTGTTAAATGTAACTCTGATTCAAAAAATTTTGCATGTATTTATTTAAATATTATACCACACTAAGTGGAATAATTATGTGGATGCATTATGTGTTCCATATGTGGGCCGCACTAATCATCAGCATATGTATCAATCAGCAACTGGAATATAGTTAAATTCTTTTATTCCACTTTTAAGCACTATGGCAACAAGTGGGCCACATATACCTTTCTTGTCAGGATATATATATATATATATATATATATATATATATATATATATATATATATATATATATATATATATATATATATATATATATATATATATATATATATATATATATATATATATATATATATATATATATATATATATATATATATATATATACAGTGGCGGAACTACTGGACGCAGGACCCTGCGTTGCGGGGGGGGGGGGGGCTTACCAGCTATAGGGGGCCCTCATATAAAAAAAGTTATACTCTCAATAATATTTATACTATAAAACTCTTTTCCGCAAAAAAAACATTCCTTTGCGGGGGGGCCCAAATTTTGAAGTTCCGCCACTGTATATATATATATATATATATATATATATATATATATATATATATATATATATATATATATATATATATATATATATATATATATATATATATATATATATATATATATATATATATATATATACTATATATATATATATATATATATATATATATATATATATATATATATATATATATATATGTAATTATTGTTATTATTATTATTATTATTATTATTATTATTATTATTATTTTCACTAAAGTTTTTACTCACCCAGGAATCACTCTTTAGCAATAATAAAAATTGGAATATAGATTTGTATTGTCTGAGTGAATGAACATATATATTGAATCTCTTAAATGAACTTATTGGTTTGTTTTTTTCATAATATCATCATTCAAAATAAAATCAACATCTCCGCTTTGTTTGATACTTTTAAGCCGATCAATGCAAATCTTAAATCAGCTTACAATTTTTCTGCAAATTTAAAGTAAAGTGTATTGAAACTCTAAACAAAGAATAAAATAAAAAAAATAGAAACATGGATACATTCATGTATCAACAAGATACATATATGTATCGAAGATACATATAAGTAACAACATTAAAAGATCTTTTATTTTAAAGTAATATTTTTTTAACAGTTTTATAATCATTGTTCCATAGTTGTGTGAATTAAATAGCTTTGCAT